ACCCGTTGCATACCTGAGTTATACCAAGCACTATACTGTATTGTAATTACTTGTTTACTTTTTTCTCTACCACTGTAAGCCTGTCAAAGGTAAATGGAAGTAATAAACACAAGAGCTGATGAGATAGCTAGGGGAAAATGGAAAAAGGAGACAAGGAGGAATTTAAAGAATGGGCAGAAGAAAAGTGATCTAAATGACAGTTGAGAGAAGGTAGAAGAAAATGGAAGCAAAGGATAAGAGTTTCAGAATGAGCATTTTTATTTCAGCTGGTAGTAGTAATATGAGAGCTGAAAAAAATTCTTTGAGTATTGAAATTGTGATGTTGATTTTTAGAAGGAAAGGTTCAGAGGGGGTTGGTGAGAGGTAGGGGAGCTGCTCAGTGAGAGTGGGAAATCCCATTGAAGTGCTAGAGGTACTTAAGACTACTTCAGGAAGAAAGTGTTTCAAGAAAACCAAGGAAACATGAATCAGAGCCCTGGACTAGTGGCTGGACCAGCACATTTTATTTGTCTCAAGCATGTCAAGTTCAGTTACAAGTATCACTCACACCTCTTTCATCAAGTTAGGAAAGTGACTTATTGGGAGATGATTTTTGCCTCTAATTGCACATTAGCAAATCCATACCACTGCAAGTTCACTGTTACTGCTCTGAAAGATGTTAGTAACTAGACACAATACAAATATCCAATAGAACTCTTTCCAAAAAAATAAAGTTCAAGTTTTTAAAAAGTAAATGCATTATCCAGGAATCAGCTGCTTTCAAAGGACTGTAAGAAGAGCCTTTGGCATAGACGGTTCTTTTCCATTTCACTGTGAATTATCTGGGTCTGTAGTGTTTTAGGGGAGATTGAGAGTGAAAATGAATCTTTATTAGGCAAGATCGAGGTGCACTATTTGCTGTGGTCTTCGTAGAAGTGCATAGTTGAGCATGAAATTGTCACTTATGGCATAGAGCAGTGAATTTGGGCAAAAGTGTATGAAGAGTTGATATTATGAGACTGATTTTCAATCGGAAAATCCTTCTAGTGATCTTTTGTGTGTCAATAAAGATGAAAGTAATGAAAAGATAGAAGAAAAATAAAATTGAATTTTCGGGTTTGATGCAGGAGGCTGCATAATTAAACACTATTACCTGGCATTTTAAGTGACTTACTAAAGGAGATAGAAGGAAACATCCCTGAACTCAGCTTGCCAGTCTGGCCCTGTTGGTAACTGGACATGTTATAAGGGTCTAGGTTCATCACTTGTGTAAAAGAAGGAAACAGTGCTGACCAAATACCAGGGTGTTCCTGTGTGTGTTAATCTCATTCAAAATGGAATAGAAGTCCTTACTCTGTCTACTTTACAGAATTGTTAGGATAATAAAATGAGGTAAAGAACGTGTATGTTTCAGTTATCTGTGAACTATTATACAAAGTATTATTCCTTCAAAATATTCCTTTGCATTTATTTAGATATAAACAATTAGAATGCCAAATTAGAAAAGCTGTATATTTTTGCCCTAAAATTGTGTTTTCTAAATTGAATTACCTAAATCAGTTGATACTTGTTAATTCTTTTAAAATTGGAAGTTAGTTTTTGCACAAGCTTTAAGTACTTGTGCTTATAATGTTCTGTGTATTGGTAAATGAGATATATGTTTACATATGTATGTATATTCCATTGTAATTTTTATAATAGTTCTATGAGGTAGATAGTACACCAGTTTCACTTATGGAAACAGGCACAGTGTGACTGACCAAGCTCACAGTATTAGTAAGTAGTAGAACCAGTATTTTCACTTGGGTTTTTTTCTAACTTGTGTGTTTTACCATCATAAATATGACTTCTCTTGTTAGTCTCTAAAAGATAGTCTTACCTTTTTATTGGGTGGCTCTTGCTCTTTTCCTCTTTATTTGCCATTTTATCCTATATTTTCAAATATATGAGCACCCGCTATGTACTGGGCATTGTTCTGGGTGGTAAGGATGCAGCAGTTAATGAAAGACAAAATCCCTGCCCTCGTGGATCTTAGGTTCTAGCTTACATGATACTTAAAAACAAATGATTAAAAGGTAAGTGTGTCGAAAGGTGGTAGGCGGTATGTATGGAGAAAGGAAGAGGAATGGTAGTTCAGAATGTTTGGGGAAGAAGTTCATACTTTATTGTTCCTGAGAAATTAAAGTTACAGTCTGAAGGTTGAAGATTTAGCGTAGGGGGTGTCTTGTGGTAACTGATGTAAGTAGGGGTTAAAAACAACAAAATTAGACCTTACGGTCTCAGGACAGGGGTGGTGAATACTCTAGAATTTTGTATACCAAGTTCTGGGGCGCCTCTTTATTGTGGAGGCCAGGGAAGAGGTGGTCTTATCTAGAGTCCCTGCGGCTCCTGGACTCCCACTTCACTTCTGCTCGGAAGCTAGAGAAAGGGAGTCTCATTGTATAACAGCCTGTACTACTTAGTGTTTTGATAAACCTCATTCCTACTGAGTGATTCAGTTACTTTCAGGTGCCAAAACAAACAGTAAAGTATTTTATAAAGTATATTTTCCTATCACCTCCTCAAAGAAAATAGGTTGAACTTTGAGCCTGCCAGATCTTCTCAGTTCCATAGTGTAAATACAAAAGTATATTATTTTTGAGTCTAGAGTGTTATAGAAAGTTCTCAGTGTCTCTGAGATTATAGCTTTAGAGGATTTTTCTCAGGCTCTCTGCTATAATACTATTAAGTCACATTTTAAAAAATGGCAAAAAGACTGATTAAGCATGAAAACCTTACCTGAAATACAAATTCTAAAAAAGATAAACATTCCTTTATCCAATACTGCATGTTTTGGAAAAGAGCCCCAATTTGTGGCATTGGAAAGTCATCATTATTGAATGAAAAGAGTGTAGCCTGTGGAATCATAGATAACTGGGTTCAGTTTTGGCTTTGCCTCTAACTGGTTACATGACGACCATTGCTTATACCATCTCTCTCAACTTCCTCCTTTGTGAAACAGAAATGTGATGATTAAATTAAGAGACACCACCAGCAAATTGTAATACAGCATAATAGGTACTATAAAAGTTGTAAAATGCCATGGGAACAGAAGTAAGGCAAGTAATTGATTATGCTCTGGGGTAAAAATGGGCAGGCCGCTAGAAAAGGGAGGGTTAGGTCATGAATGAAGAGTTGGAGTTGATGGACTGCAGAAGCAAGGAAACATTTTAGGAAGAGGATACTGCGAGTGCAGATATCTGGAGGTATTAAAGTACAGATGCTCGTCGGCCTACGATGGGCTTATGTCCTGATAAACCCATCATAAGTTAAAATATAAGTCGAAAGTGCATTTAATCCACCAGACCTACTTCACATCATAGCTTAGCCCAGCCTACTTTAAATGTGCTCAAAACACATTAGTCTGCAGTTGGGCAAAGTCATCTGAGAGTCTGTTTTATAATAAAGTGTTGAGTACCTCATGTAATTTATGTATCACTTGCACCATCATAAAGTTGAAACATTGTAAGTTGAACCATCATAACTCAGGGACCGACTATATTCACCCTTAGCAAAGACATCATCACCTCTAATACATTTCTTAACTCCATTTTTAAGCCCCTCTCCCAACCTGTTCCTGTAGTTTTCTCTGCCTCCGAGATTTCTCAACTAACAGTACACTCCTTTCGGGCAAGAATCTAATTTCTCACATTTACCATATGCTATTCTTTACACACTGGACACCGTAAGTATTCATTGAATGGATGAAGTAAAACTACATGAAAAAAAGTTTTTAGAAGTTTCCTGAATGCCAGGCCATGCATTTTGATTTAGCCCTATGAAATGTAGACTTGTAGAGTTGATAGCCATTAAACAAGGGAATTCATTTAAATAGAAAGTAGCGAAGCGTTCAGGATTAGAGCTGTAGTTATACCAAGTTAAATGACGACCTCTTGGGGTTGCCATTTCCTTATTTGTTTAACATTATTGATGATTTAAAGTTTGCATCCAACTATAATATTTAGGGATTCTGTGATTCCTGTTGCCAGGTGGATATCTAGATGGGAGCCTTTTGAGGGGAAATAGTGCTTGGCATATGGTGTATGCTCAATAAATATATGTCCAGTTAAAAATCCGAAGCATAAATCAGGATACTTAATTGGAGAGACTAAACTGACTCAGAACTTTTACTTCTTTGAAGGTACAAGATGAGCACAGAGCTAGCGCTGCTTTGTTAATTGATTTAAGCTCTCTGGGTATGACATTGTATTGTTTGTTCTGTTGCTGTTTTGGCAACCAGATGAGAACATTGCCAAAAGTATGCAGAACCAGATTTTTAAATGGTAAGTGAGTTTGAGTTTTATTCCAAGAGTCAATAAATAATTGAATGGCTCTTCATAAGTGACGTATTGTTATACTTCTTGCTGGGAATTTTTGGCTTGAAACTCTCTTATTGGTAATATTCATATTGAATAAGATACTGTGAGATGGGAAGATTGAGTTTTTAATGAACTTCGGATATCTTGCTATGTAAAGTATTTCCCAGCTCTAGAATTTATGACTGCCCTGCCTTGAATTTATTTCTTTTGGGTGTTAATGTGAAATTTTGTTTCTTAAAAACGCACGTTAGTATTTATCCATAATGTCAGGAGAACCTTAGTTATTGTCCTAAGTGCTTTCAGTTTCATTTATGTATACAGTTTTACAAATTAAAAAATAGAAAACAGAAGTTGAGTACTTTATAATTTTTAAAGGCCTAAAATAAAATTGCAACATATGCCAAATAAGTTTCTGTAGGTAAGCAGTTCTCGAGAGAGTATGTTTTATGTATTTCTTTGAAATCTGAAATATCTCAGCCCTGACTAGCACTAAATTCTCTTACTTTCTGGAATAAAAAACCTAGAGTGTAAATGTTGAAAGTCTTGGGAAAATATTTTGGAAGTGTTTTAAAAATGTTTTTATATGTATTTTGTAAAAATTGGAGCATAATTGAATATCTGGCAGACTTTCTATATGAGTATCTTTTGGTTTTTGTTTTTCAGGCATTTTAAAAATATTTAATCATTCATGAGTTGAGTTTCATTCTTGAGTCATGGATGACAAGGCTTCTGTTGGAAAAATCAGTGTCTCCTCAGACTCGGTATCCACTCTTAATAGTGAAGATTTTGTCTTGGTTTCCAGGCAAGGAGATGAGACACCGTCTACAAATAATGGAAGTGACGATGAGAAAACAGGACTCAAGGTAAAACTCCATAACCAAAGTTTCTTTTGTTTATTAGGCTTGCTAAGCCTGCTGCAAAACTCGGCCTTAATTGGAAGATGTATGGAGTGCGAGTGAGAACATGAAAATAATATCCTTTCTTTTTTTTTAATGCTCAAGAGTTTTATTTACAATTAGTGACAAATTTATATTTGGTTAAGTTTTCAATTTGATTGCTTCTAACCTTCTAATACCCCTAACCGTCAAAACTCGTGGCCATAGTATAAACATTTTTCATTTTAGCATTGTTTTCACTTTCCCATTGAATGAGAAGTGACTGCTTTTTCGTTTGTTTGTTTGTTTTTGGTGTATGTAATATAAGGGCAGTGGCAGCAGTGCTGTTTATAAAAATGAGTTTTAGGATGATTGAAACGGAACTTTAAATTACTGCCTTTTGGCCACTTCTGTTTGTTTATATATATTTTCTCAGCAAACAGACAACTATTACTTCTTTTCCTATACTCTGTTATTGTTCTTGTCTTTATGGATATAAATAAAAACAGTTTATCTTGTTACATCATTTAAAATAAGTAGCTCTAAAAGTATTTTGATTTCTGTTTACATCTTTTCATTCAGCAAGTGTTTATTGAGTATCAGCTGTGTGCCAAGTACTGTTCTAAATACTGAGGAAACAGTGGTGAATAAGACAGGCAAAGCCCCCTGCCTCCTGCAGCTTTTAATTTTCTTTAATTTAGAAAAGAGAATTATACAGTCATGGAGTGATCTCTCTGATTACTGTAGCACCTGTCTGGCACTTCATACAAATGTTACAATAATGTTGACTGCATACCCTATCCTATGCTCTAAATCCTCACAACTGCTTTGTAACTACTAATTTGTACTTCATGCTCCCACAGTTTTTATTTTAATGGGGGAAATGGACTCTAAGCAAATAAAAAAAAATGGATATAAGGAAATTTAGGTGCTATAAAGAAAATTGAAGGGAGATATGTGGATAAAGAGGTACTATCTTGAAATGACATGTGAGCAGAGACCTGAATGGCATGAGGAAGAAGGCCATGGAGAAACCTGAGAAAAGAGCTTTACACAGGGAACAGAAAATAACACAGACCCCAAGGAGGCTCACCCTTGTTAGGACAGAGATTAGAACACAGGGAATAAAGTAAATAAAAATTGCTAAAGGATGAGATTTAATGGTAGGTAGGGGCTGGATTATGTAGAACTCGTAGAGCTTCGTAGGAATGTGGCCTTCGTTATAAATGTGGAGGGGATTTTTGGAGCGTTTCGAATGGGGGCATGATCTAGTGTACATTTGAAAAAGCCCACTGGCTGAGAGAGATGACATGCGAGGAGCTCTGTGGGCCTGCTCCCCAGCAAAACTGGGGGGACATTTTTATTTAAAAAACAATAATTTAAAATCTCTAAGGGAATTACAGCAAATGAAGAAACATTTATTCAAGGAAATTACTAAAATTTGGTAAAGGATCTGTGGTATTTGAACCAAGACCCGTTTTTTTTTTCCCTCCCTTATCTCAGCTGAGCAAGATGGTAGCTCCATTCCAGATTGAGTGGCAGAAGACAGGGTTCCTGCCCTCCCAGCTCCAAGTCAGAGGGCTGCCTTCCAAGGAACAGCAGGACAACAACATTTCTTACGCTGCCTCCAGGTGCCCTTTGCAGGCCAAGCATGAAGGGCCTTCTTTTTCCTCTCAGCCCTTACAGGGTAGAGGCTCTACTTTAGGCAAGTGCCGCTGAGCATCCCGGGATCCTGACTGCTTTTCCCTTTTCTCTGGTGTGACAGTGGTTTTGTACCAGTGGAGGAAAACCAGGAAGACCTGAGACTACTGTACCATCTCCCATACCCACCACATGCTTAGCTTCGGAAGATGGGGTGTCAGAGAGAAGCATGCCATTGTCTGTCCTTCCAATCTCATAGCCAAGGCTCAGAATTTGCCTGTAGTGAGAAGTAGGCCATGAAAACAGTTCCTAATCTCTTCCCAAAGAAACTAACTTTATTTGCTAAGACTGCAAAGGGTACTCTCAAAAACAGTGGAGATTGTGGTGAAAGGTAATTTAGAGGAGATCGGTAGGTCGATTGGACATCCAGGTTTCACCGTAGGATTGCTGGGAGGAGACTGCCTAGGATCAGAACAAAACTCAAACATCGACATCTGGAACTTTCCCTTCAAAGTAACCTCAGTCTGTTTGGTATAGTCTGTGGAACAGTTTACATCTGAGTGCATGGTTGAAAACTGTAGAGCAATCAGCCACTATTACTGGAGTTTAACATCTAGGTGTGGTCAGAGAAAGAGACAGAGTGCCCTGTAAAAACTTCTCTCATCCCAGGACGACTGCGGGCAAATCCAAATCTGAGCCCCCAGAGGAGCAATGTCAGAGGCTCAACACTATGGGAGTCAGGGGAATAGAATTTACTAAAATAAGCCATCCAGTCACCGAACAAATGAGGAAGCATAAAAAATACCAAGTTTAAGAGTGGAGAGATCAATACCAAGAATTGATACAATATATCATCTAAAATATCTAGTTTGCAACAAATAAGTTTGAAACATGCAAAGAAACAAAATATAACCCATATATTATTAAAATAAGGACAGACTGCTGCTTGTGAGAGTGACACGTTGGTTTTAATACGCACATTCTTCAAAGTAGCCATTATTACTATGTTCAGTGAGCTAAAATCATGCTTAAAGTATGATAATGGTATCAAGTTAAATAGAGAATATCATTAAGGAGATAGCAGTTACCAAAAACAAAACAAAACAAAAAAAAACAAGTGGAAATTCTGAGGTGGAAAAGCACAACTTAAATGAACAATTCACTAGAGAGGATCAACAGTAAATTTCAACTGGCAAAAAGTTAATGGGAGGTAATGTCATCAAAATGGTGGTAACAGGCATTTTCTACCATTCTTTCAGAGAACATTGATTTAGATAATCATTCGCAGATGAGAATACTTTTGTGGAAGTCTGGGGAGTCCAGCATAGAAGTTCTAACGTACCGTTGTAGCAAATAACATCCAAGATTCGACCCTTTGAAAACGTTAATAGGTTCACTTTACCTGTGTCACTCCTCCCCCAAGACATCCAAGATTCGACCCTTTGAAAACGTTAATAGGTTCACTTTACCTGTGTCACTCCTCCCCCAAGGAGGCACAGCTCAGTGCCAAGAGAGACTCAGCTGGTGATTTCTGAGTGTGTGTGATTGAGCATCTGGCTTCCTCAGCTGTGTGAGACACTCGCTGAAAGGCCCATTTCTTTCTCATCCCGTCTGGAATACTGAGTCGTGAAATGCATGACTTGGGGGCAGATAGTCTGGCTGAGAGGCTAGCAGCCAGGGCTGGGAATGGAATGTATCAAAGGGACACAGGTCCTACTAACTGCTTTGGGACTCTGTCAGGGAGCTCACCCACAAGCCACTGGGGATGCCGCCTTTAACCAACTCTCTCCCAGCTGGCCATGGGTACCTCTGAGTTCCATGCACCTCACCCAGACACACCCCCACTCTATGACTGCCTCCCTGCGCATGTCCTTCAGGTCAAGAATGGTGTGAGCCTTCTTAGATGGCTAGTGAGCACACCCAGGAAGTCAATCTGATTCTGGGATTGAGAGAAACCACACTCTTGAGCATTCATCACCACCTTAGGTAAAGCAAATGCAATTGAGAGCATCAATAACAGACTGGATCAAGCAGAAGAAATTACTGTGAAGTACAAGACATTATTTGAAATTAGTCTGAGAACACAGAAAAACATTTAAAAACAATGAAGAAAGCCTATGTGAACTATGGCATACCATTAAAATGAGGACTTTACATTATTTGAATCCCAGAATGAGAAGAGAAGAAAGGAGCAGAAAGCTCATTTAGAGATGTAATTATTAAGAACTTCACAAATTTGGGGAGAGATTTGGCTATCTGAGTTGATGAAGTTTATAGGTTCCCCCCAAATTTGAACCTAAAACGATCCTCTCCAGGACACATTATAATAAAACTGTCCGAAATCAAAGACAAATTTTTTTTTAAAGCAGCAAGAGAAGAAAAAAATCGCATTACAAGGGAACCCCCATACGGCTTTCAGTAGATTTCTCAGCAGAAACCTTCCAGGCCAGAAGAAAGTGAGATGATATATTCAAAGTTCTGAAAGAAAAAATAACAGCCAAGAATACTTCTATTTTGGCAAAGTTAGCCTTCAGAAATGAAGGAGGGAGAAAGACATTCAGAAGTCAAAGATGAGGTAGTCAGGTCACCATTAGACCTTACAGGAAATGCTGAAAGTTCTTAACCTTGAAATGAAAGGATACTAATTACAGTCATACTTTAGTATGTACTAATTATATCTCCTGTAGACACTGACATAGTTGATCACTGGAATACACTTGCGAGTTAACAAGTAGAAGTTTGTTTCTGTGGTCACCTGATTTAGACAAGGATACTAAAACCATTTAATTGGGAATGATTTTTTTTCAACATCAAAATTTCAAGGAATAAAGGAAAAATAGATAAAATTAGACTGCATCAACATTAAAATTTTTTCTGCCTCAAAGGTTACTATCAAGAAAGTGAAAAGATAATCCACAGAATGAGGAAATATTTGCAAATCATAAAGTAATCGTATAGGGATATATATAGAGCTAAACAACATAAAAGTTTTATCAGCAGCTAAATGGGTAAATAAAATGTATACATGGAATATTATTTGGTCATAAAAAGGAACGAAGTACTGATGCATGCTGCAACATAGATGAAACTTGAAGAATTATATTAAGTGGCAGGCAGGTCACAAAAAATCACAAATTACAGTTGACCCTTGAACAACATGGATATCGGCTATGTGGGTGCACTTCTACGTGGACTTTAAAAAATAAATAACATAATTGGCCCCTCATTTCCCATCTGCAGAGTCAACCAGCCATAGTTCAAACATTATTTTTGATCCATGGTTGGGAATCCACAGATGAGAGAGCTGACTATATGCATTGTTCTGCACCATTTTATATAAGGGTCTT